TATGGTCGGCCTGCAAAATTTGGGCTACCGATATCCATGCTGAAAATTCCATACTTGTACCAAAAATACAGTGTGGAATCAAGCTGTAATCAAAAATAAAATAAGTACACCCGCTCTTTGGTCGATAGCTGGATATCACGTCTACTACAGAGACGGCATAAACTGATATATGCGAAACTACCCTTCTGTATCCGTACTGAGATTTCATCAGAGATCAACCGGTTGGCGCTGGTTGATGCAACTTCCCAAATAAGCGAAGCGGTCAACCAGCTCTACCACTTCACTCCCTATTTCTAAACTAGGAGTCAGTGTGGTCCAGTCCTGTAACATCATCTTGCATTTGGTGAGGGCGAATCGCATGCCGAACATTCGTAGATTGCAGCTCAAGGTGTTCAGAAGACTTGCTTTTGTCAGCGTCCTCGCCTAAAAGGACTATATCGTCTGCATATTCAAAGTCAACGAGATTATTCCCCGGTAGTAAGTTGAACCCTGAGTCTCTGAGGTGAGTTAGGGTTAAGTCCATTAATACATCTATGATGAAATTGAATAGAATTAGGGATAATGGGCATCCTTGACGGACACCACTAGTCGTCACCACTTCAGATGACAACTCGCCATAAGCCATCACCTGGCTGCTTGAGTTCGAGTAGAGTGCCTTAATCAGTAAATATGAATCATACTGTTGGAGACTATTTAAATCTATAAGAAAAGTATATCATAAAGTCACAATGTGAGTGTTTTCAACGCTCAAACTCTTCATTAATTTAAAGGAGACCATGTTAACTCTCAATGTATCAGGAATTACTTTCCCCAGGAAGTATACCAGCCAACAATCTACTGTGGCTGTATGCATTGCTGCTACAGCACTGCAGAAATGCATTCCGAGTGGAACATAGGGATTCAAGCTTGATTCTTAAAGCTTCGGTAGCAGTGGTGTTTATTTTTACGAAGTGAGGTCACCAGCCTCACATCCCGCCCAACCTGCGCTTTTTGCCGGGCTTACAGGTTAAGCAAGGTTTAGGAGTGCGTCCACCTGGAATCGGATCCGGGTCATGAGTATTCTACCAGTCAACCTACGAGGCACATTAAAAATACTAACGTCAAGTAAATGTAAGTACCATTGGACTAGTCTGTACCACAAATACTTTAATTTACTCAAGAAATTCTCTTCATGATAACAAAATACAGTGGTAATTTTAACGTTTTGAGAGATCGGTGGTGTGTTTAAGTCTGTCACTGTGAAGGTGGACAACATATGAAAGAAGTATAAAAATTCACACCCTTGAATAGGTAAAATATACAACGCACACGAAGAATAACAGTTTTTATATCTATACAGGTGGAACTGGAAACTGTTAAACAAAGTGTTACAAATTGTAATGCCTATAAATCCACCAGAATTTATAAATGATATATGTTTTGTTCAATTTGTCAATACTAAAATATATGAAATAGATAATTTGAGAAATTACGAATTTAGTTTTACACCTGATAGATAAAAACAAACACGAACACTAATTGCACTTGCGTCATATGTGTTTATTACCATCGGTGAAATAGTATGTCAAATAAATAATTCAATTCTAATTTATTAAACATTTTTACGCTGATTAAAGCCTAACATGTAAGTTTCTTTGTAAGGATTTGATTTGTTTCAAGTTCAATAACGGATTGATACCAGTTAGAGGAGTACTGAAAACCAAGGAGCACTGGACAGCTGTTTCGTCCTAGTTTGGGACTCATTGGCAGTACGCACCAATCGGATTTCGAATCCAGGGCCTTCCGGTTACAAGGCAAGCTCCTAGAGTATTCAGCCACTGGGTAATGGGTTATATTGACGTATGCAAGTTTTACGCAATATGCTTATGTCACTATCCTGAAATTTGGCAGACTAACAAAGGAAGCCGCCTTAAGAGAGACTTATATTCATGATGGATGAAGCATTTTCGTTGATAACTTCTGAGGTTTGGGTAAGTTACTTGAAATTTGCGGATAGTATTATTCATACCAAACAGCATGCTCTATGTGAAATTAAACAAATTCTAGTCACTTTAATTCCATCCAGTGTAGTTCGTTGGGTCTTCATGGTAAGCAAGCCTGACAATCATATCAAGTTAGCAGCTATCCGTCGAGGGTAATGAATGTTCTTGCGGGTCCTACCGTAGAAGAAATAGTTAGATAGCGATTAGACCAAATGCAGTTACCATCGTAATCTACGTTATTTACACTATGTTGGAGGCAAATTTGTACTGCTGGCGAACAGAAACGTAACAGTAGTGAGGTGCTCCTCTCAGATGACCGGTGCGCCAGCTATGTTGCTTCTCAGTTCTGGAGAGTGGGGTTTAGTAAACGTTGACTCTAGTGTTAAGATCTTAACACCAAAGCAATTCCAAAGTCCACTTTAAACAGACCACGTGTGGTCCTCCTCAAGTAGTTGTCCCCTGGGTTCTGTGGTTACGCCGCGCTAATGATCCTGCTGTCCCAGGTGCCCAAAGGAAAAACCAACTTCCATACTGTGGGCGATGAGGAAGCAATAACCGCCCACACACTTCCATAAGCAAACAAAACTTTTCTGACTATCTCCCACAGTCAACTCTATCACTTTCATAACCTTGTTTTCCTTCTACTGCTAATATTGTCTCAGAGACAGGGCTCTAATCTTCTGTATGAGAACACAAATAGAGACGAGATACGGAAAAACATAACTGATAGTCTCTTAAAATTACTCTGCCAACTTCATATTAGAACATTTAAAGTCAGAACCCTTAGCCGAATTGCACAACAAGGTTTCACTAGCTAGAACTCCGGCATCTGAAGCCATGGATGTATGTCGTATTTACAAGACACCCACCTGGCCAACAAGGTGGGTCTGCAAAACCCACTCTACGGGTATCATGAGGTTCTTCGGCTAGTTAGTGAAGACTTTCAGGTGTAGGGATAGCATTAAGCATTAGAGCAGAAAAAGCCCTACTTGATTGGATCCCTGTGGATAGCCGTATTTATGCTGTATAGCTGAACGGACCAGGAAGAGGGTGTATTGATCATATCTTCACCCTCCAACAGATTCTAGAACATAGGCATTCCTACCGGCGTCCAACAGTCATTATATTTCTTGACCTAAAGGCAGCATTCGACTCTGTCGATCGGGAAGTTCTCTGGAGATGCTTGGCTGTAAAGGGAATTCCAAGAAAATATATTGCACTGATTAAGGCACTCTACTCGTACTCATACAGCCAGGTGAGGGCTTACGGCGAGCTGTCATCTGAACTGATGACGACCAGTGGTGTCCGTCAAGGATGCCCATTATCTCCTTTTCTATTCAACTTCATCATAGATGTGTTAATGGACTTAACCCTAAGTGACTTCAGCGATTCAGGGATTGACTTGCTACCTGGGAATAATCTCGTTGACTTGGAATATGCAGACGATATAGTCCTTCTAGGCGAAGACGCTGACAAAATTCAGAGTCTTCTAAACACCTTGAACAGCAATCTACGAATGTTTGACATGCGATTCGCTCCCGCCAAATGCAAGATGATGTTACAGGACTGGACAGGACTACATCGACGCCTAGTTTAAAAATAGGAAGTGAAGTGGTAGAGCACGTTGACCGCTTCACTTATTTGGGAAGTACCATCAGCCCCAACGGGCTGATCTCTGACGAAATCTCAGCACGAATACAAGGGGCTCGTTTCGCATTCGTTAGTTTACGCCGTCTCTGGCGTAGACGAGATGTTCGACTATCGACCAAAGGGCGGGTGTACTGCTCATCAGTCCGCTCCGTCCTCCTTTATGGTTGTGAGACCTGGCCACTGAGAGTGGAAGACATGAAAAGACTAGCTGCCTTTGATCATAGGTGCCTGCGTTCTATTTCCCGTGTAAAGTGGCATAATAAGGTGAGCAACATGGAGGTTAGGCGTCGAGTGCTAGGTAAACAGGGGAAATCAATCGACTGAGATGGTTAGGACATGTGTTACGTCTGTCTGTCTGTCTGGATTCAACATAGAACTTGGCACCGAAGTGCAGCAGTTCGGGTTGCCACGTTCCAAATAGCACACAGAGGTAGACAAGAAGATGAGTGGAGAGAATTAATAGAGTTTGACAAATATAGGAGTGTGTTACGTATGCCAAGTCATCGCCTCCCTCGACGAGCTATGTTAGCGGATATAGGGTCAGGCTGGAAAAAAGCTAGCGGCGGTCAAACAAAAACTTGGCATCAGTCAATGAAATCCACAACAGTTGGTCTAAGCCACGTAGGAAGGTGTAGACTTCCAGGCTGGGGTCCCCGGGACGGTAAAAATCTATGGTTGGAAACAATTGGTGACATGGCTCAAAATCGTTCTCAGTGGCGCAGATGCATCCACTCCCTGTGACTTATGATCTTCAATGAAACTGCTTTGTTTTTCTTTATTACTCCCTTGTCTCACACCTCTGCTCACTGTTTCTATTATGCTTTTCTTGTACTTTCTTCTATTGCTTCGCGTGCTACACGGAGTGTGGCGACTTGAACTTCCGCACATTTGTGCAATGTTCTATGTCGAAAACAGACAGACAGACAGATTAGAATATGGGAATAATAACACATGGGACTGGATAAAAATGATTCACTTTATTTCACCAGTATCCCATACACTATTTATAGCCTGACCAACCAAAGTGAATACACTTAGCATATCTAAGTTCGTTAAGAAGACAAATGTCGAACAGTAGTTAAGATATTCAGAGCTTGATGATGAGACGTAAGGGAAATTGGGTAAAACAGATAAGTTTACGTTACAAAGAAAGTAATATCATTTAGAAACTCCAACCATATTACTTATATGACTGCATCAATTCCTCATACTTTGCTAATATTTTTATTACATCATCTAAGCTAAGAATATGCTTAGTTGCTGTTCGACGTTTTGTTTCTGTAACGAATTTAAATACGACACAATTATGCCATCTCAAAGTAACCCATGATACATGAAAATTTGTAATTCAACGTGAAATACACATACCACTCTGTAAACGAGATTTTAAAACATCTGGAGGAATAGCTACCACCCAGTTGAAGACACCTGCCATTCCACCGGCGAAGAGCGTCTTTCCAACACCCAATTCATTACTTTTGAAAAAGAGAAAGAAATAAGCAAAACCAAAATTTTAATATTAATAAAAATTGAGGGATTGAAATTACTGATATTTAATGAATGTAAATAGTACTGGCCCCCTCCACGCTTACATTTCAATGACTAGAAGGGATGCCGGAACAGTTAAGCAATCCATATTTCGAAAACAGAGATGGGGCTGACAGCATCTTAACTTCGACAGTTTTGTTCTTATCCAGCATAAAAGTCCCTTAGTGAAATGGTTGTTTTCAAGGACCTTCAAAATTTGCGCGAGTGACACATTAATGGATAAGCTACGGTACATACATTCAGTTTTATGGATAATGGTTACCTTGAAAACTTCACCGGATGCCGCAGTAAGGACAGACTACCCCTTGAAAAGACAGTTTCTGTATCAAAGACAGCTATTTCCGTTAAACTGTCTGTCTGTCTGTTTTCGACATAGAACATTGCACAAATGTGCGGAAGTTCAAGTCGCCACATTCCGTGTAGCACGCGAAGCAAGAGAAGAAAGTACAAGAAAAGCATAATAGAAATAGTGAGCAGAGGTGTGAGACAAAGGAGTAATAAACTACCAGTCAAGGGTGAACAAACCATGCAACTGACAGCTCAAAGGTTTTGATCAGCTATCAAGCGAATATTCTACGCTTTGATTCTTGTGCCTACAATTAAAGGATGAAATTCCGTGGACTCTAATTCTCACTGTAGCTACAAGTTCACATGCAGTTGCGGTGACACATATATAGGTAGAACTAATGGAATATTTCAGTGTCATCGAAATGAACATATTCCTAAATGGTTATTAAGTGACATGGAAAACCTAAATGTATTTAATCTAAGTAGAAATCCATTATAATTCATTACAAAGCATCTATTAATGTCAGGTCACAAAATCAATATTGATGACCGCTTCTCTTTTGTTTCGTATAATTCTAATTTAAGGTTATTAAAAGCGATAGAAGCATTTTGGATTATTTGTATGCATCCCAAAATGTTTGGACAAAATCAATAGGCTTTAATCTCTGCCTAACTATGAATTACTTGACCTATTAAAATATGATTGCTTATTAGGATGTACTTTTGTCTTATATGACGGAATATTTGTTCATACATGCTAGTTATAAAGCGATTGTAGATTGAACTACGAAATGATATCAACTTGTGATGTTTGTCTTCTTAATGTCCTAAAGATTTAGAAACTTTCTTTCTCCAGTGGTCATGTTTCACAATATCACGGTGGGATAATTCATATCGCTGGGGAGCATAGTCCCAACGGGGAACTAGATATCTCACCAAAGCTAGGGAGAATTTACGGGAGTTAAACGAAACTTTTTACAAGTACCGATAATTGGTTGATCATTAGCCAATGAGAGTTGACAGAATTTCTAAAGTGAGTGATCTGACCAAAGAAAGTGACCCCTTCAAGTACTGGTTTGAAGGGATTTGTTTGATTGGTTACAGGATTTCATCATGAGCTGAAATTGGTTAGAGAACCATTAGAAAACCCGCCTGGGAGTACTGGACAGCTGTTTCGCTCTAGTTTGAGACTTCATAGTACGCAACCGCCGGGGTTCGAACCCGTGACCTTCTGGTTACAAGGCGAGCTCGTAGACCATTAAACCACTGGGAGCCGATCCAATGACCAGCCCATGAATTCCAACTTCTGCCAATTCATGATATGGCGCAATCGCTATCCAATGTCTTCGGCAAGTATTTGTCCTCAGAGCCGACCTGCACCCTACTGGTCACGACTTCCCACTATAAACCAGGGTAACTACCTACCTGAATAGGCCATGTTTCCAGTGAGCATCTCATTGATATTCAAGTATTGGTTTGTAGGGATTTTGTTGACCTCTTCACTACCTATTTTCAGCCAAACCGTAAATACGGACCAAATATGAAGTAAAAATTCATAGTTTAGAGGTTAAGAACACCCTATTTTAAGAGCAGAAGTTCGGCACTTCCATGGATTGCAAATCTGTATTAGATAAGTTCATTTGATACAACACACTGCCATAGTGTTGATAAATGAATGACGTTTCGAGCATAATTCATTGCTCATAATCAAATAACTGACTTCCTAATTTGCCTACTATAGGATATCCCAGATAAATGATTAAATGATATCTACATATCTCCACAATAACCATGGAGCGGAATTAAACGTTCCAGCAGCTCTATGCTCTCAATTATTTATAAATATGTCTGGACAGAATATTGAATGTCTATAATCACTATGCCACGGCTGTATAAGCGTCTCTTAGATGGAAAACAGTACGTTTGTAAATTGCCCAATGAAAAGTTTACATATTTTAAAAAAATAGAGCTGTTTAATATTTATAATTCTGTAATTTTATGAGTCATTTTAAACAGTATTCAAAAATTTATTCTTTTATTTTTGATTACAGCTTGATTCCACACTGTATTTTTGGTACAAGTATGGAATTTTCAGCATGGATATCGGTAGCCCAAATTTTGCAGGCCGACCATAGATATCAGGTGTGCGTCTGCAGGGGATCAAACCTTGGACCATGTGCATGGTTGGCGAGAGTCCTAACCACTGGGCCACCGACGCACACAAAAAATTATAGAATGTGCTTACTTGGCGTATGGATTTCGTAGTAGTTCCTTTATCCATTCATAAGTCAGAAAATATACTCCAGACGAAGGAATATCTAAAATAAAAGCATGACAAATGATTACTTGTAGTGTTAATCTGAGATGAATTAAAGACCGTAAATATCGTAATGCAGAAAAAAGCAAGAACCACACAGACATTCGGTATTCTAGACACTGACAATAGACAGAAGTTTTATCCTAGAAATATCCAGACGTGAATAAAATCTCTGTAAAACTATGATAACAAACCTATGGCTACTTTTAAAGGTTAGTTACTGTGAAACAACGAGGGGACTACTGATCACCACCTGGCTCAGCAGTTTCGCCAACACTGGGAGCTGAGTGAAAAGTAACCATATATAAACATATACAATGTTAGATTTGTAGAAATTTCAGTGATATTAAAACAAGTGACTCCAAGGTTTCATTCGGCAAACTGGTTTAATATTTTTTTTTCAGGGAAATGATGAAGGCAGAAATTATCAAAGGTACATAAATGGGAGTTTCGCATCTTGTAATAAAACATTTTTTGTCTAACCATGATGTTTAAGCTGTGCGTCGGTGGCACAGCGGTTAGCATGCTCGCTGACCATGCACATGGCCCGGGGTTCGATCCCCGGCCGACGAGGCACTCCTTTGTCTCACTTATGCAATAATAAAACTGGTAAATAGGGAAGGTATGAGGCTAGCAATCCTATCCTGTAAAAATAAACACTGCTACAGAAACTTCAAGCCTCCAGCTTGAAGCTCTATGTTCCACTGGGAAAGTAAAGGAAATTTTAAGAAATGATGTTTAAGCTAAGAATAGTATTTCGCACCAAATTTACTGGTTTCATGCCATAATTTATAATTAACATAACATCATGTTTTTCTAAATAGATATGGTACACAAACCGAAACAATCACTTCATTTAACAGAGTATGCAGACCAAAAGACAGAAGAGTAAACGAAGACAAGATCAACACCATTTACAAAATACACTGCGTCAAATGTGATACTCATTACATTGGTCAAAGTGAGTCTCCTTCGACTCCACATCCAGAAAGAAAAACTAACTGTCAGAAGATACGACGTTTTTTTCCACATAGATACATGCAGACAACTAAGGGCATCAATTTAACTGGGAAAATGAAGAAATTTTTAACCTTGCAATAACTAGAAATGCCAGAGAATTCTTAGAAGCCTAGTTACGCATAAGAATCAGGGAAATAACAGGCACATTACTATAGATCAAGTTAATCAACTAACAAAGGTTCAGTCACACAACAAGAAAATCAAATGTCAAGCCAATAAAAATGATTAGCATTGATGAAAATTAACAACTAATCACGACAAAGGTTGTCAGGGGAGACAATTATATCATTCATGGACTGGTTGACTGACTGCTTTCAACACAGAACTTTACACTGACTTTTTAAAAAGATTTTGATTATAGCTTGATTCCACACCGTATTTTTGGTACAAGTATGGAATTTTCAGCTTGCGATATCGGTAGCCCAAATTTGCAGGGCAACCATTGATATTAGGTGTGCATCGACAGCGGATCGAACCGCGGACCATGTACATGGTCGGTGAGAGTCCTAAACGCTGTGCCACCGATGCACATGTGCAGCAGTTCGAGTCGCCACGCTTCAATAGCACACAAAGTAAGAGAAGAAAGTAAAAAGAAATGCAAAACAGAGACAGTAAACAGAGATATGAGGCGAAAAGAACAGCAATATCGAAGAACAACAGAGTTTTATTGGGTACTGTAAGTCACAAGGAATGGATGCATCTGCGCCAATCACAGAGAACGATTTTGGGCCATATCACTAATTGTTTCCAACCATTGGTTTTTACCGTCCCGAGGACCCCAACAAGCCTGGGAGTCTACACCTCCCTACGTGGCTTAAACTAACTGTTGTGGATTTCATTGGTTGATGAAGCCATGTTTCTGTTTGACAACCCACTAGTTAGCTCTTTTCCGATCTGATCCAATCTCAGTGGCTAACACTGCCCGTCAAGGAAGGTGATGGCTAGGCAGGCATGCGTAACACATGTCCTAACCACCTCAGTTGATGTAACTTCCCAACCTCGACAAAAATAAAGTTCTGAATCAAGAATATTCTCCAGTGTGTTTATTTAACCACTAACCGATAGACGTGCATGATTTAGTCTTAAAAAATTATGATCTATGGCAAAGGTGACCTGCTTAAAGTGTTTTAGCGAAGTGAAAATGAGTACTTGTTTAGTCTGTAGTTTAGAAACAGATGGGTACACGAAACTTTAAAAATTGTATTAACAGAGTAACAAATGGAACGTTAAAATAAAAAAATCACCTCAAAATATTTTGATCAAATAAACAAAATACACACAATAACGTTTTTTTTCTAATACAAAATTCTGATGGATCAGTCCTGTCTACTGAGTGGAATACACAATGTGTTCTGACTTCCGCTGACATTACATTTTAACTATTCACGATTGGACGAAACCACATTCTTGATAATCTAATGAACTATTTCGAGTACCTCTGTATGAATTTAGCTCTTTTTAAAAATATATATATAGTCGACACAGAGGTGTACAAACTGTTGTATATAATTCCATTATGGGTAAATTTTGTTTTGATAAAGTCTCACAGTGTTATACAGTAATGCTCGAAACGTCATCAGTAAACATTACTGTATAACACTGTGAGACTTTATCAAAACAAAATTTACCCATAATGGAATTACACTCTACCACAGTGCACAAGTTTTATTCTTATATCGATGTTGTATATAATCGTAAAATAATTATATAAACAATTTTATAAGTAGTTAACGGTGAATTTAAGAAGTTTGGCAGTGAGAGACATTAAACTGAGTTAGACTGAGTGTATGACAGCTTGAGACAAATTTCTTCACATCCCCTGGAAACATTTAACAAATTGCTAATTAGCATCAGATTATTCAACAAGACTATCACTGACTTATGAACACATATTAGTTGGTTTAATATTATACTTTTCTATAGTTTGGTTTGTAAGGGTTAGTTATGTTTTTACGAGTTGATCACGGATTGATATCAGTTATAGAACCATTGAAAACCAGGGAGTAATGGACAGCTGCTGTTTCATCCTAGTTTGGGAATCATCGGCAGTACGCACCCACTGGGATTCGCACCCAGGACCTTCCGGTTATTATTGGGAAACCTTATTCGCGTTTGTTGGATACAATTCACGTATTTCCCCTGCGATATTTGTACAAAGGGCAGAAGTAGCACAACACGGAAGATCTGTGCAAATGACGATTTAGAGATAAGGTGTACATCATAAATATCCTTTTACTAAGTCTCTTGTCTATGACCGTTATATATATATATATATATATATATATGATTTTACAAGTGTGTAATTATCGTACAATCCCTGGGTCAGAATACATTCACTGGTATTTGCAAATCTAATCATTTTGTGGTGAAAAGCAGCTTTCTGACAGTTTGCTTATTCACAGAGCTTCAGTCTTCATGGGCGTTGGGGTTTTCCCGAAAATCACAGCTTCTCATAGAAACAAGTTACTAAAAAGCACTGCATTAACTAGTTGACGAAGAACTAATATTTTCAAGAATGGGTTTCTATTTCACAATGATAAAATGGATATGGTGACACAAAACCGTATATTTCACCTGTTTGAGATAAGCCAACAAGATAAACTTTAAGATGACTTAGCGTCACATGCTATAAGTTGACACGATTGTTCCCTGGTGAAAAGTCAACCTCTAAGTCGCTAAAATCACTTGGGGTCGACTCGAGTAGTGCACCTATGATGAAATTAAACAAAAGGTGGGTATAATACAATGTTAACAATTAAAAATCATACCTCGTAAGAGAGTTGCAGCTGTCCCTTTGTAAATACTCCGAAGTCCACCTTCGCGATACAACTGACGGAAAACATCAGCCGGTCCCTTATACTTCACAGGTCCACAAGAATTAGACTGAACCTGTAAATTATATATTAGTACGATTAGGTGATATTCTGGTAATAATTAAAGTCTACGGAAAATATCCATCCAGACATGAACATAAGAAAATATAAGTGAAAGTCATTTGAAGTGCTACCAGTTAATTTAGTGGGACGTTATAAAAGATATAATACGGAATTAAGAAGTTAGAATGACAGTTCAATTTAGCTCATTGACAAATGTCAGCTTATAAACAATGAAAACCCTTAACTGTGAAACAACTCAGTGACCTAAATACCTACTGTAAAAAGTCAGCTAATCAAGTAGTTGATGATTTTGTGTAGAGCGAGTTTACGACCTAAACAACTGAGACTTCCGTTCACGTGACTGGATTTCGAGAGTGAGTCTCTGAGGTCAAAGCATTCAGTGAAGTGCCACAGTTAAAAAGCCTGACACTCACCAGGAAGTCGGATTCATGTGAAGTAGATATTTTGAAATAGGCAAAACTACATAACGTAAAGTTATAATGACAGCTGCACTAGCCTCAGACTAGTAAGCCAGATTTTGAATAGATGTGCAACAACCAGAAAGAAAGCATAAAACTGGAAACGTCATAGAATTCTGCAGCACAAAAGTCCTGTGAAAATTTTGACGTAAAAACTAGTGTTTCAAAAATTCTACTTCTTGACTAAGCTCCTTGGAAAATCAAAGATGTGGTGTTATTAGCTTGATGAAAACAAGCAGTTGTAGCTTCATGTGTCTGCCTCGTACAAGATTACGTGATGAAGTTACAGATAGTGTGGACAGTAGTCATTTTCAACCCCAAGACATGCTTGCACAACACATGTGTTAGTATTAGGTCGCAACCACCGAGAAGCAGTTTCCATCTCATGTTAAGAAACTAAGACGAAATGAAACCTCGTAGAAACAACATACCGAATTGGTTCTGTGTTTTGGCTCTGCGATCATGCAACACTAATACTCTTTGTGTTTCAAGAAATAAACTTCCACGGTGTGACCAGCCGGGAAGTAATAACCACCCGCACAATCCTGTGAGTACACACAAAGCCATCCTGATCATCACCCATCTTCGGTTCCCTCTATTTTGTCGGTTTCACAATGGTTGCCAACAATTTCGAATGTGGTCAACACAATATGGCTGAGAGATTCAATCTGCACGAGTACCATTACGCAACTCGCAAAGGAATAAACAACGTAGATATTACATATCTGGAATGTAGACAATACTAATTATGACTACATAGTGGTTACTAATAGAAAATAGAATGAAAAGCAGATCCATAACGAGAGGCACATGTCACATTATACTATTTATATGTAAAGAGAATAAGCTATTCGTATGAAATAAAAACCTGCTTTCCATTTTGCATACTACTAAGACATGAAGTTTCTGTAAAACAAAACAGTTTCAACTAATTCTGAAGAAAGCAACACAACAAAGATTTTCAGGCGAACACTTGTTCTAACAACAATGCAACTAATCTTACCTGCAAAAGACATTTAATGCGTTCTCCTGGAGCTAAAATTGCGGTAGTAAAAATACCGGAGAACATCCCCGCCAACAGAAGTTCATGTTTTCTACAGTAATTCTATTAAAGCATAAAATATACCTTAAGTTCATAGGATCTTTGGCGAAAATCTTTTTGCCTAGATTGTACCCGAAGAAACAGGTGGCGAATACAGGTGCGACTCCAGCAACAGGTACCGCCATACCCTTGTACAGACCTAAGATGCCATCTGCAGCTACAGTTTTCTTAATACAATCAACAGTTCCATAATATAAAGGTGTTGATCCTGCCCTGACATGAGGCATTGTCTGCAGTCTGACCTAGAAAAAAACCACAAAAACACAATACTAATCTTTGGATATCAAGTGTTAGTAAACTAATCCGAATAATCGGATTACGAGATAAATGGCCAAAAACACTTTATTCCCCTGAAAAATACCCCAATATTGTAAAGTATAAGCTGAAGTCGATAAAAAGTAGTCTTACTTAGATATACGATATGACCGCACTTAGAACAAGCTGATCTCACTTTGTTAAAAATACTGATAGGTGCTTCCAACAATTTTAAGACTCATTACAATGTAACTACCTTTTCACAGTTAAAGCTGTTGAGAAGTCTCAAATCAGGATACATAAGAAAACCCCTAGAAATATTAGGATACTCCAGGCACGGATTACCTCTACATTCTGCTTTTCTACCTTTGTCTGCACTTATGGAATTTGGCGACTTTAGTGCAAAGTTCTACGATGAAAATTCAGTTCCACACAAACTAGCCATATCGGAACCGAAAAGGTGCCAGAAGTGTTACATATCTGGTTTAGCGAGGAAGTGAAGCTTAATTTAAAATTTTCTTTGCGTAGCTGGTCGGAATAGGCTACCTAACAGCTTTGCTTCAAAGTTGAATTACTCATTTTTCGGATTCATGTCATCTAATTTACTGTTTTTCATTTCGTGTGTCTACCTGGATCACTTTTAAGACGCCCCGCTTATACGAAGACTGTACGATAAAATGAGACATAATATCCTGAAATAATGAAGAACGACACAAACTGCAAGCATTTTCCCTCGTCGATGCCACCTCACACAACAAGTTATTTCGGGATATGATACTAGGATGTTACATTTCAACTACAAAGAGTACATAATCTGTTACGATTGCATATTTTTCGTGTGTATACTATTCAAATAAAGGTGACGTTGCAGGACTAAACAATGGATTTTTCATCTTACTGATAACATATGCCACCACATTTCTTACAACTTGACTTAATCATATGGACGCGAGATGCTTGATTGAAGAGGATGTAAGTAGCAGATGTACTTTTGAATATAGTACTTTCAGAATATAATGATAGTGAGCTTTTTCATCTTAATGAAGAAACGCAAGCTCAGGTGAAAAAAAAGACTAAAAGTTAAGGGAAAAGGACTACCCAGAAAACATGTGTTGTATTTGTATACTGAACAAATTTTTATACCCAAATTTCACCCACTTTCCTTCGAATACTCAGACTTTGGCGTACTAAGCCTAAAAATGTTACTGAATTAGAATATGCAAGCGCAAATAATCCAATGTAAATTATGAGCATAAGGTTTAATAACGCATGATAGTGATGCCAGAGCTCGAAAGTATAAGCGGCGTCACTATCTCATACAGGATCTTACACAGCTCTAGTTGCAAGGTTTTGCTCGAAAATTAACTTTCATCATGAAAAGAGCATGTTGAAACGACTGTAGAATATGTACAAAGTATGAAAATCCCAATCTATCAATAACATTAGAGTGCGAGGTAAGGTCTGCGTATTCGTATATTAAAAAACTAATGACTTCCTGACGAAAGTGGTCACATAAAACTTCTACACAAGAATAACATGTAGTTAAATTTAATAAGAACTATGATTAATATATACAAAGCAAACCTTTATAGTGTCAAATGGGTGACCAATTGTAATACAGCAGGCACCTCCGAACCCACCAGCCAAAAAACTTTTTATTGGACTTATAACAGGGGCATTTGTCTCGGACATCTATAATCTTTGGGTGAGTATATAGGTTGTCTCGTGTTATATTTTCCGCGAATAATTTTTTTTCGTCTTTCATTGGCTAGAATGGTGGCGGTCAATTGGAGTTTGAATTGTCCTTGGGTGCGTGCTGTCGGGTGCTGTATTTGCGTGGTTGTGTTTGCGTCGTTTGCCAGCATATGTGATTACTGTAAACGTGTATGAAACTATTGTAACGCTTTGTTTTTCTTTGTTTGTGCATGTACTAGGCATTATTTGTCGTACAATTCGTTGTTTGGTCTATTGGTTGCTTGCGATGTCAACGAACCGGTGGGTTCTTGTGTTTTTCTGTAATTTAGGTTATACGTGCGGCATTTTCTTGATGGTTATCGATCATCCCTGTATTTCAATGTTGTTTTTTTACGATTTATGTTGGAATAGTTGTGACATAGATGGATCCTAATTGATAACTTTATTTTAGTCCGTTGCAGGTAGTCAATTCGAGTGACAGGAGCACAGATTTAAGTGGAATTTTTGCTGAATACATACTTGGAAAGCGTTTCTTCAGCTGGGATGAATTTGAGAAGTCATTAGCAGAATTTCAAAAAGTGAGGAAGTCATTTAATGCTAACAGTGTAGTTATCCTACACTCACTATGTTCATAATTGCAGCAAAACGATGCCGGATGCCAGGTTTAAGTACGCTTATGTTGGTTTTAAATGCACTTTTGGAGTGAATCGTACAAGACGTGGATTGAAATTGAAAAACAAGTCGTAAGAAGAAGTGTAATATGATTTCATGAATATTGCAGGTCTAAATGTTGCAATTGCTCGTCTTCATTTCGCGTGGTTTTGCATCATAGTGAATACATAATTGCTTCCCACAATATGGTGCATAACCATCCATGCAGCAGGGTGTACATGCAGAATGACCCATGGTATAGACGACTAACAGTTGAAGAGAAAGAAAATATTGAACCACTTCTTCAGCAATCCCACTCATCCGATGAAATAATAATGCATGTTAAGGAGAAGTACAACAAGGATATAACTCGCATTGACGTTAAAAATATGAAAGCCGCAGTGAATAAAGGTAACGTTGACGTACTTGTTACATACTTAAGGTATTTCGAGTCGTCGTGACATTTTTGAATTCCTAAAATCCCGTGGGAAGTTAATGGAGTATTATTCCGATGAACCGATCAGGAATTCACTAACAAGAATTTGTTTTGCAACTTATGAGCAAATGGAATTGTATAAACAGTTCCCTGAAGTTGTTGGTATCGACTCGACGTATAATACAAATAAAGGGAAGTAAGTTTACCAATTCATTAATCAACGTGCAGGTATTCTTTGTTCCAGCTACTTGTGACGGATAATTTTGGTCGTGGACGACCAGTTTTATTTGCGTGGACTAGAAAAGAATTCAAACGAGATGTAGTTTGGATATTAGACTGTTTCCGGCAAATAATGGAAGACACCTCGAAAACAGAATCCTTCATTATGGATTGTGCGCAAGCTGAAATAGCAGCCGTCAAGTTAACGCACAGACAAGCGCACATTGTTTTGTGTTCTTTTCATGTTTGCCGAGCTTTCTGTCGGAAAGTAAGTTTTTCAAAGCATACTTTACATTTTATTCGTAGACAAGAAATCCCATTGTGAAGAACTACTTATGCCGTCTAGTGCAGTGTAAAAGGAGATCAGAGTAATGCCTCTATTGTTCTCATTTTGCAGATTTAATTTCTACTTCAGAGTTATTAGCAGATTGGATGCTAATGTCAGTCAATACCTACAACGTCGTTGGATGCATCGACGAGAATTGTGGGCGGCCTGTTTCAGAGATAACGTGCTGACTTTTGGGAACGATACAAATAATCGTGTCGAGAGTTCCCACAAGCAGATGAAACGGTTTTTGCAAAGATCTGATAGTCTGCATAAAAGTATGCTAAAGGTGTATAAATGGCATAAACGAAGTTTTTCAATAATACAGCAGGAGGCGAATATTGCTCAATCACGATGCTTCACGTATCCCTGTTCACAAAGTTTAATCCCAATTATACGGTTGCTTACACCATACGCCGCGAGGAAGGTAATACGTGAATACCAATTGCGACGATGGGCTACTGTTGAGTTCGAATCCGTTGATTATGTATTTTTCAAAGAAAATGGGAAAACAGTGCAGGTTGATCTGAGTGCTTGCACCTGCACGTGCTTTACATTTCAGACCTGTCGGTACCCCTGCCGACACTTGCTTTTGGTCCACTTAAGAAAGCCGTATTTCACAGGTATATTTGCGTTTTTATGACTACGTTTTTAATGTATAATGTAATGTAATAATCAGTTCATAGTTATCTTAACTTTTTTTGTTCCACCTTTTGTAGTTAACCATGTGATGCATAATTGTAAACAATGGACGTGGTCACGCAACTTGTTCGCATCTCAAAGTACGTCAGCAGTTATCCCTCGAAATCGAAGTAACATATACGATACCAAAAAGAAGATTATCAATGCGGGTATGGACAGAATTAATGACAAATTTGGAGAAGTGTTTGCCAATGCTTATGCAGACGGAGTAATCGCAGGAATCAATCGTGTTCTTAATATGTAAATAAACTAAATTTTTGTCATAATGAAAATAAAATTTTCATGTAAATTTTGTTGTCTTTCAATTCATGTGTTCACTTTGTGAGCACGGCATGCTAGACCGGTGCTCTCTAGGACTTTCACTACTAACAATACGTAAGTGTAATTGTGTAGGAACGATGTCGGTCAGCATACGTGTTGAATTATAAGTATTTCAGTTAGCTAACGTGCATAAGTATCATAGTCATATACAAGTCTTTAGGGACAATAGTATGCATACCTTAGGCACTGCATTCGAGTCCCAGTTCTTATACGGTTACGTGTATTCGAAAGTATTGCATTACTAATGTTTCACTTAAAGCGTGATGTCAATCCATATGACTGAGGCTGTTGACATGTAGCGTAAATTCAACTCTACACCAGACGAATTATTGAATTCGTTGAGCTTTAACAATCGTATTTAGATTTAGCTTACACTAAATTATGCCACCAATTACTTCGTCAGTTCTTATTAATAAGTCATGTCTGCACCTAGTCATCATGACAAATACATCTAAACTCAGATATAATAAGAAAGGTCTGGTAAGCAGGATATTAAATGTATTTAATGAAAAAATAATAACAAGCAAATGTGTTTACGCAGTCGATTGTCGGAATAATTTGTGCAATGTCGAATCTCTGTGACTGGGGTGATTGACGTTACCAGATATCTACAAATAATTAAACAAAGTGTTTTTTAAATAGCTGAAGTAAGGAAGAAGTAATATTAAAGGTAAACGATTTATATCTGCCTACCTTTGCTGAAAATGTTTTGTTTTCCTTTCTCATTCTTTGGTAATGACATCATTATTCTGGGGTTTTCACTGCAACACACATTATTCCTCTTCTAAAGGATAGCAGCAAGCATATAGTAATAATTTCAAATTACGTTTAAACCAATGTTTACAATGAATGCATGTCATTTCTACAGGCGCAATAAGTTCTGTTATAAACTGCAATCGTGAAGTATCATGAATTATAAGAGTTAAATTGTAAACCCTTAATAATGAACACCGTACATTTGGCTAAGTGCTATGTCGTTGGAATGTGAGTATACATCTGCAATGTTTAATGCCAACCATATTGGTGTAAGGATAGAAAATATGATGTTTTCTATGAAAATACAGCTTTGTTCCAACACTGCTGTTGTTGTGTTTCTAATAAAAGCAAATAGACTGTAAGCATAAAGGCATATCCAGTTAACATAAAATGCAGTGTAATAGTGCACAAATGAAAAGACCATAGTGAAGTAGATAAGTGATACTTCAGTGAGAGGTAAATTGAAAAATCTGCAACCTTATAATATGGAAGACAACCTGACATGTAAGATGTCTCACAAATTTCAATAGGGCCTGTGGGGTACCATGGATGGTTTGGCGTCAATCGCAGCTTTGGAATAAATAGTTACAAATGCTAAAGGTAACAACCAACGAAACTGCAGTAGTATTTTCGAGCTGTTCAGCATTTTTTCCTTTAATGCAGTTTCTTATCAACAGTTTGCAGTATTCAGAACATCACAAGTTGCTTACAGATAACTTGTGTAATAATAACTGCGATAAATATATGAGCCATAAGTGCATCTTCCACATCTTTCATAGCCGCAATTAAGTCATTAAGGATCTCACAATATCTTAGTGATGTGAAGCAAAATAATTTTTAAGATTGATATAACCTATGTAACAGGTGTAGTAGTTGTACGACACAGCCGCTAGCTACTAATCGACATAAATCTGGTACTAATTTTAAGTACTCTGACATTTGAGAAGGACTAGTTATACTATTCTTCCAGACACAATGAACACTGATGTCAATATACTCTGATGCCATTTCATGCACTGAGCAATTAAGGCATTGTGAAATTCCATGTGCAAATGTCAATTAAACTATTTTCACATCTTCGCCCAAGCACTTTTAACTAGGAACTTCATCTAAATAGATATAATAACCAGGAAATTCAGCAGCCTGTCTCATTCATCGCATAATGTCATCAATGTGTTATGGAATATTTCAGTCATCCCGGATGATAACAGAAAAGTTTAACATGTTCAAAGCACACATCTAACCTATGTCTGTATGCTATTTCTCTTTCATAGGCCAGATTCTAATAGATTCACTGGAATGACAACAGCCATTGCCTGCAGTATATTAACAACCTTAAGATCTGAAACAACTCGCAAAAAACAAACCCTCAACGCACTATAATGCAAATAATAGTCTTTCTATGCGAACTTTCTTAAAAAGGATGATTTCTTCATTGATAATTTGTCCGAGCTATAATATACAATTTTACGCTCTACTAAGAACAAAATACAGCAAAATACTGCCATCCGGCTACATAAGTCTAAAACTAGTCAAATATAATCTATTTCCAAAAAAATTGGTGATTATAACGTCTGTTGACGTGAGCGCGGTAACCGATGGCACTGCGCGATAACACCTGGTGTCGGCCTTTATCCTCACTCATAATCTTTTCCTCAACCGTCCAGAATTCACATCCCATGGCGAAGGTCAATTACGTGCTGCTTTTCAGCATACAAACAAAAACATTGTTCAATACTTGTATGGGA